ACCTTGCTATTTCTTGATATGTTGGTTATATAAATAGAATGCTATTTTATGAATAAAAAGTCCTAGAATGAGGAAAGGCAATACATTTTTTAACAAATGGTGTCCAGAAGGGCGGGGGGAGGAAGGAATTAGTGAATAGACGCATGCGTGCTAAGGAATGAAAAAGAGAGAGTATATTTGAAGATATGGCAACGTTGTTTTGTCCCGAATGTATAGGAGAAGTAGTAAGTTTGTTTATTGTCTCGACTTTTAGTAAGTAGAATAGTCAAGTAGTGGAAAGTAGTAACCTCGCTTAACCAAGTGATGATTGAACATAGTGAAGAAAGCTTCAGTTAAGCCACACTGTTACGCTACGTGTAGCTTTGTCAGTTTATTCCATGACAACACTTTTCTACTCCCGTTTTTTCACAAATAAATACTGACAAATACAAGTATATATCGACCTTTTCCAATCTGTTCTCTCTCTCTCTCTCTCTCTCTCTCTCTCTCTCTTTATATATATATATATATATACATAATATGTATATAAGCATATTCATATATACCTAACCGTCTCATATGAATGATTTGATCGTATACAAATGCATTTGTGCACATGTATAGAAACTATATAAATTTCATATTAAATTCTATATAGTTTTCTATAATTGCTATAAACTTAAAATTGAATAAGTGCGCGAATAAAAATCACCAGTGAATTTTATTCTATATCGTTATTGCTTATTCAGTCATTCCAGCTACTTTCAAAAGGTACACATGTGTTATAGAGACAATGACATCACATAAAACGATAGAAGAGAGACAAGAAAAGCTTTTAAATTTTATTTGGTTTTATTCTAAATGATTTCAACATTTTTATTGTATAAACCATAACAGCACTATTGAATATTTTTTGGTATGTTTATTTCACTAAATTATTTAGACAACTCCATATAACCTTTATTATAGCATATTTATCATAAACTATCAAACTAATTTAAATACTCATCCACTGATGAACATTTAAATCATTGTCGGGAATAATCGTATTCATTCTGTTTCTCTTTAATTAATTATTTATTATTTTCTTTATAATAAAAATATTAAAATATAATGACAATTTAATATATAAAAAGCTAAATTATCTTGGGATTTAACTGAAAAACTACTTATCATTTATCAATTACTATTTATTCTTATTATTAATATTTTCACACATATCATTTTCCTAGATAGTAGGAATGAGAAGAATATAAATTGTGTTATAAATCATTTAGAAACATTGTACCATTAAAAATAATTTTAAAAAATTCTGTGACAATTATATTTTATTAAAAATGATAGTATATAAAATTAAAATTAGAAGAATATTCAATTTTATTTGTATTTTATCTAACAAGATACTTTTTTAAATTAACTGTTTAATGTTTTTGAGTATTATTTAATTAAATATTAAATATTAATGTAATATTAAATTCTTGAATATTTGATTCTACATATCTGTCTTAAAAAATATATATTTTTTATTTCAAAATTATAAAGAAAATAAAAATATTATTATAATATAATTCTTGGGATCTTTGCAAATTTCAATACATATATGCATAACCTAGTATTTTATTTTAATTTTTCTAACATAAAATTGATTTATTATATAATTGTCCTTCCAAAAATAGCATAGAAATATTATATATAAATTACAAATAGTTTTTTTTAGTTTTTATATGAAATACTTTTTTTATCAAACTACTTCAAACTCACGGACAGATGGTTTTAAGTCATTTAGTTAAATTTGATACAATACAATAAAATTTTTAATAATACCATTGGTAATTAAGTAAGAATTTTAAATTATAGTTGCACATTAATTTTAACATTTTTATTATAATTTAATTTTAATCATGATTATTATATATATTACAATTTTTAAGTTGAATGAATAATAATAAATAATTTTTAATTGTACAAATGTTATTATAAATTTTATGAAATATACTTTTTAATTACAAATTTTACAATCTTAAAATATTTTATGATATTTAAAACTATTTTATTTTTTGGGATATATGATTAAAAAATAATGGAAAATTAAGTATAGTAAAATTTATTAAACTATTTTTAAAGCATATTGAATCCATTTTAAACTTGAAGAAGAAATATAAATATAATACTATAGTATTTGAGTCTACATTTTTTATTATAATAAAATAACTGAATATTATTTTTAATGTGGAAGTCAATTAATAAATAATATATTTGAATAGAAAATATGGCAACTGCTAATTAGTTTTATTATAAAATATTGAATTAATGCTATGAATTTTAAAGTTTAGTTAGCACTGTATATATTAAAGTTTTAGTATATAAATGTAGTAAATAACTATAAGTAGTAATAAAAGTTTAAAGTACTCTAATTTCAGCATGAGAATAAACAAGTTTACAATCAATATACTTTTATTATAATACATAATTGTTGAAATATGTAGTATAATTATTACTTTTGGTTTAGTTATGTATAAACTTTTATACATACCTACTGTTTTAAATTTTAAATAAAAAAATCAGAAATCATACTATTAAGGAATTAAATAATTAATCATTGCCAAATGAATAAAACAATGTTTGTAAAGGATCAAATCATGATCTTCTTTGGGTCATTGTTGATGAAAAAAAGTCAGATATAACAGTATTCATTGCAGAAGTTAAATTTCTACAATAGAAATGTTTATACTAAGTTCGTTATACTGTAAACTCTAAATTGAACCATGGATATTCTAAAAGATATAATTGAAAATAGTGTTAGATGAAAATATGGTATATCAAAACTGGTTTTGTAAAATTTCAATTTTTGAATATCTAACTTTATAGAAATATAGTGTTTTGATTATATAAAATAAATAAAAAATTAAAGTTAAATATTGTTGAACTTAGAAAAGAAAGACATTATTTGAAGAACAAGTGCTAGTAGTAATGAAAGTGAGATTAATAATAACATTAGCACTTTTATTAAAAATATAAAAAACTGATTTATTGATTATTATAATATATTTATGAAAGAAAAAGTTGTCTATGTGTATTAACTATATAATTTAATTTTAATTCAAAATGTATTGTTTTTGTTTTTTATGATGAATTCATATATTGTAAAATTACCTCTATATATTATTTAATTTAAAGATATAGTCGAAATATATACATTTATTATCATTACAATCTCATAAATCTACAATAAAATATTCTATTGTAATGTTGTACAACTTTTTGGTATTAGACTAAATTTTTATAAATTTCGTTAAATTTTTCTTATTCAATTGGTCTACTGCAATATTCCAGCATTTCTACCAATAGTAGCTTCAAAAACTATTGAACAGATTTGAATAAATTTATGACTTTCAATTATCATTTAATTACAATATTAAAAATTTTGTGGTTAAACAAATCAAATAAATATATAATTTTAATATATTATATTATGACTTAGTTACTCTAAAATTATAAATCAAAATCTATTCCATAATGCTCAAATGTTTATAAAACTAGTCACTGATATTAACTGATACAATAATCCAACTTCTCTAATTACAGATAAAATATAGAAAATGGAGTAAAAAATTCAAGAAACAAAGTCTCAAATATTTGCTGGCTTTATCATTTGGAAAAGATCAATAAATTTATAAAATTTATAGCTAAGTGAGTTTAGTAAAGAACAAAGCTTACATGGTGATCATCATAAAAAATTTATTCTAATATTGTGTACGAACATAAAAATATTGTTGTCAGGACGATGAGCTGCATTGTAGTGACTTTTATATGGATTGGAATTTTAATGACTGTGTCAGTAAATTCCAAGTTACAAATTCGTTCACGTCCAGTACTGATATACTCAAATCAGTTTGCAGTACATGTGCCAGCTGGAGCTGAAGTAGCATCTAACATCGCTGAAAAACATGGGTTTTATAATTATGGACAGGTAATATACATTCATTTTTGACATGTCTTTATTTGCATCTCCCGCATATATAATTTTTAAAGAATCAGACAAATATTTACATATATAATATTGATACTGTGTTGTAACTGATATATTATATACATATTAGTTATATGATTTCTTTTTATACTATAATATTTTATACATAATAAGAACAAAACTTCAAATTTATAATATATCAATTACACATAAATTTTTATTTATTAAAAAAATCTTGTGCATATTATAAAATATCATTTTCTTTATTGATATAAATAATTATATATATTGTAATTGTTGTAAATAAAATAGACATAAATTTCATAAGGAAATTTTAAAAAAATAAAAATGTAATATTAAAAAAATATATGATCTCTTCATGTTGTTTAACGTGCAGACTGTATTATTTGACATTATGATAGGTTACCTGTATCTTTACCTTATATTTGTACTTTACATGTACTTCATGTGTGTGTGTGTGTGTGTCTACTTTATATTTCATTGAATGTGTTTTTGTTTAATCTATATTATATCATTTTTAATCTAAAATTAATTTAATTTACAGCAAATACTTATTTTTTACATATGTATATATTATATTTTATATTTTTATTTTATTTTACATTCATTTATTATACATACATATAAGTAATTGGATTAAATTAAAAAAAACTCCACATTTTCACTTAACAATAATTGTAATTAAACTAGTTTGAAATTATATTGGTAAATTTTGTAATACTTTTTCTTCACATTACTATTATTTATAAATATACATATATACCTATGACCTATTATGACTAAAAGTACATTCATTTTTATATTTGATAAAATTTTAAAACAACTTGCATAAGATCTTTTATATAAAATTTTATTCCTCAATTTGTTCAGGTTTTTTTTTTTTATATTTTGATTTATTAACGACTATGATTGAATAATTTTGTAAATCTAAAAACATATATTCAAAATATTTTTCTTATTAAAAACTAAGAAAAAGTATAAATATATTGTATTTAATTTATATAAAAACTATTGTTAATATATTTCTTCTAAATGTTTTAGTTAAAAAGAATGTTTATAATACTATAGAAGCTAATTTAATTTTTTTGTTTTAATTATTAAATAATTGTTATCTTAAATACTATTTTATTTTAATTACTATTATAAAAACTAAAATTTGTAAAAGATTAACAGCATTATATATTTCTATACTACTTATATCTTGATTAAAAAAAGTTTTAGTTTTTCATTTTAGATAAATAATTAAATGAAAAATCTACGTTACTGATGGCCATCTGTATTAATCAATATTTTTTATAGAAATTATATTAAAGCATGTAATATGCATGAAAGTATGTAACAATTATACCAAATTAAATCTTCTCATTGTTTTAGTTTATTTTAAAGTGACTAAATATATCATACTAGATCACAAACTAAAAGAATCACAGATAAATTCTATTTGATGAGTCACATCGGCTTTTCTACCAAACTTTTTATTTTTTTATATCTATCCACATATGCATTATTTTTCCTTAAGAACGCATGACTATTATCGTGATTATGGATATTATAGAATAATTTTTAACTATTCTTTTGAATTATTAATATAAATAATATAATTTTATAAGTTTTCTACAATTTTTGAATATTTTACAACGAAAATTAATCGAAATAAATTATGTTTCATTGTTCACTTTTTGTTTTAACGTATTTACTACATTATTACTTACTGTACTCTATGAAGTTTGTATGCTGTATGATAAATTAAGATGTTATACATTATATGAAAATATTAAATTATCGAGCATTAGAAAATAACTACAAAATTCCAAATTTATGATTAATTATACAGAATTGTTTTTAAATGATTTCATTTCGAACAATATATTTCTTGTATGATATATCTATTGTTTATTAAAATTTCTGAAAAATTCCAATGGGACATGATACACTTGGCACAATCAATAAAAGGTATATAAAAATTGTGTAACATCTAAAATGACTAAATTGATTTTTCTCCTATGTTCAAATAACAAAAATGAATATAAATTATATAAACAAATAATATAAATATTCAATGTTGAATGTAATTAATAGTTACATAAAGTTTTATGTAAAAGTAATTTTATCTCATAATGATTCTATATAACCATTGATGTAGAATATGCATTCTATATCACTAAATAACCTTTCTCATTAGTTAATTCTTTAGATGGAAATTTGGTATTTTGCTGTTCCTTGGATAAAGCAAACTATTCAATGCAGATTAAATAGAAAAATTATCACAATTTAATTATGAAAGAAAATAATATTTCAATTTTAATAGAAATGAATTATTAGTTTTTATTATGACATATGTTGATGATATGATATATAATTAATCACACCATTAAACAAGTTTTGATAAAGAGCTGCATTTGAAAATAAATTTTTTCAACTATTTTTAAGCTTAATCAATAAGTTTAATATTATTATTAATCTTGCTGCTATTACTTATTAAATCTACTTTCAAAAACAAAATTTTTAATGTGTTTGTCCTAAACCATTTTTTATAAAAATTTATAAATATTTAATTTTTTAATTGAATATTGCTATAAATATACTGTATTTTATAAATGTAGATTTTATCAACGATTTTATACTCAATTATCAAATTTAATAAGCGATTATTGGATAAAAATTATTGGCACAATATTGTATAAAAGTACGATATTCGTGTTTAGATACATATTCACCCTTCCAACATTTGTATAAATTTATACTTATATTTATATAATATTTTTCTTGGAATTCTATAAAATCTAAATAATTTATAGAAAAAATATAATAATCCCATGACATTTAGATTTGAAATTATTATATAGCGTGTTTAAATTGAAATTAGAAAAGTCAGTTTCCTAACTACTAAATCAGATTTTCCCATATAGTAAAAGTTTATCAAATCAATATGTATCATATTATAAACTTTTAATTTATATGTATTAAATGATGTAATATTTTAATATTGTTGTCATTTTTTAAAAGTAAGTATTGCCATTTAACCATGAAAAAAATGTATATATTATATTATGTTTTATTTTATCATATGTATTAAAATCCAAAAAATGCCTTTATTTATGCCTGCAATGCTCGAGTGGTTCATCGCAATTTATCATAAAAATAATTGTATGAAAGCAATTTCATATATGATATAAATTCGTACTTTTATGAATTAAAATTAAATGAATATTTTAAACAAAAATTATAACAAAAAATATTATACAAATTAATTTGTAATTGAAACCATATGAATCTTAAAAGAGAAATTATATATTCAAGATTTATATGGAATAAATAATTTTTTAAACATTTATCGTATGATTTAATTTTTCTTAATACCTAAAATTGAAAATAATTATTCACGTGATGTTGTCTTGTTATAAATAAAATAAATAATTAAAGATCAGGACAAGTAGAAAATCAGAATTCATTTTTATCAAAACAAAAACTATAAAAATCAAAATTTGAAATTTATATTTCAAATCAAGGTTAACTAATTTTAAACAAAAAATTATGGAATCTGTTTTCTTTGCACGTAACTACTTATGTATCAAAAATAAAATTATTGATTATCATTAGTATAAAATTGATTGAATCATATGTATAATTAAAAAATTAGGGTATTATAAATTTTCTCAAATTATATAAAAATAATTATATGATATTGATGTACATATTTTGAACATATTTACTACATAAATAACTTATTACTTATACAAATATTAAAAATAAAATTTCGATCGATCAATTTTTTATTTGTTTGGTACAATTTATAATTATAAAAGAAATTCATACAATAATGTTAATATTACAATTATATTTTAATGTATTGTCATATATTTATTAATCAATTATAGAGAATAACATCATTCAAAATTTTCTTCAAACTAAGTTGAATTTCAATTGTCATAAAAAAATTTTTTAGATACATAATCATATGAATTAGATTTATTATTTATGATAGAATGTTATTACAAGTTCAAAAAGGAACTTATTTTCTTATTATATAAATATTATTTATTTAATTTTAGTATATTAGATACTCTACATTTTAAACAAAATGCACATAATCATAATTGTGTTGAGCAACATTGTAATGATCAATATTTTCTTTATTATGTAAACTTAGTAATTGTATGGTACAGTAAAAACCAAACTATAATACGATATACATAAAAAGTGTAGTAACGCCCGTAAAAGATCTTTTAGTAATATTGAAATCGAACGATCACAAAAATGTTCTAATATACTCCAAACGAAAAGTCGTCATTAATTATTATTTATTATTAATAAATAACACTGGAAAAATATGCAACTAGTCAAAAAGAATATAAAATACATTTAATTTGAATATGTAGTCTGTTCTATAAATATGAAAAAAAATTGATAATAAATTTTAGGAACGTACTTAATTACACATTTTTTTAATTTATACATTATGATTTTGGAAAAAAACACTAGACAATATTTTATTATTATCGTTTCACAACAAAAACATTTACTGTTCTAAAGAAGAGTTAAGATCTTTATGTACAAAGATGGTTTCGATAAAATATTTAAAAACTTATGATTTATTTGTTTCGAATGTAAGTTAAAAGCAGAATTAATTATATTAGTTAAATATAATTTGAATTATTATTCTAATAAATATAATATGTATTTTTTAAAAATTGTATTACAATATTTGCATGTACATTCATAAATACAAATTGATCATATCTACGTTCTTAAAACAATGCAGTTTTTATTTTTAAAACTATTTTATTTAAAATTATATTAAAAAATAATAAATGAAAACTTCTTATAAATAATTATACATAACTGTAATAAATTAAAAAACGGAGTTACCTGTAAAAATTAATATATAAATCTTATATTTACTTGTCCGTACATGTGCGCAGAGATAATAGTATAATTCCATTGGTTGTTTCAGATTGGTTCTTTGTCAAATTACTACCTATTTGAACACAAAAGACTTCATAAACGATCTCTCAGTATTAGTGAGCATCATGAAAAAATATTCAAAGAAGAACCATATGTAAGTATATGTAATAAAAATTGAATAACATATATTTTATGAGTTGTATATATTTAGCATTTTATATTCTTTTTCCTACGATTGTTGACTAATTGCCAAAATAAATCGTTAAAAATACAACTTAATATTGCGTAATTATACTCAAATTTTATACGTTCTCCAATCTGTTAAAATCTATAAGAAATATTTTCAACGGAATAATATAATAATTGCGACTATCTGAATCCGTTTTAAAAACGATTGCATAATCACATATAACCAGAACACCTAACTGAAGTATCTTGACGCACATCCATAAAACTGCAACATGTTTATGCTTAGAAACCCAATAAAAAAGTCTTTTACTAAATTAATTTTCCCATTTATTTTATATTTAGTTATATATTTTTTAATCAATCGTTTTGTTACAACATATTGGGAAAGGAAAGTTTAAAACAAAAGCGATAAAGATCTTTGCATCAATTTTAACTTACAACTGCCTCTTAATAACCAAGTACTTTTTTCAATTCCTAGGTGTTACTATATTATATGTAACCGCAATTATTGTATTAAATTAAGATAACTATTTGATTTATTTAGTTATATAATTTTTTATTTATGTCGTGACTTCTTACCCCTTAATTCTCTGTTCTTTCTAGTAATGTTAAAGTGCTTTTGAGTAATCTATTTTTAAAATATTAGTATATTTTTTAAAGTACTTGATAGTTATTCGATTTTTTATTTTCTCCTGCTTATTATTACATTAAATGATTTATATAATAATACGATCCTTTTCATTGTTATGATCGTTTTTCTAATATTTGAAATAATTTTTAATTATGTGTCACATGTATTTTATGTGATATATATATATATATATATAGGCAAAAACATAATAGCTGAAATTTTATTTTGTCATTTATAAAATGGTAAAGAGCAAATAATTTATACTGTAACAAAAATATGAAAATGATAAAAAAAATAGAATAGAAACAAATTTTATGAATGAAAGTAATATTTTCTGAAAAGTAGAAAAAAATTACAACTGTTTTCTATACAGATAAAACGTAAAAAATAAAACGTTAAATTAAAATGATTAATTACAATTTTACAATATCCATATTAAGTTGAAATAGTATTTTGTGAGCGTGGAATATTCATCATGAATACGAATGTAAATTATTTTATTCTAATACAATATTGTCTGGCATAACTCCATCATCCGCTTAAATAGTAGCTTATCTAAATATTTGTTTGTTTGAGAATGAGAGACTCCGTTTAGTAAGGCAATAAAGCATCTGGCAAGTAATATCATGAAAATTGTATTTAAGACTTCAAAACTTTCCTGCTCATAATTATTTTGCACTAGTGTCATAAAACATCTGAAAAACTCTAGCGGAACGTGCTCATACACCCAGTGCAGTAGAACTTAATGTGTTTACTGCCGGGAGAACCCCAAAGTAGATTCGGAACGAATATCAGATATGCGTAAAGCATTGAGTACAAACATTTACTAAAACCCAAAACCCGTACGTGCAACAACATGCAATGACCATACGTGCGCACTCGGCCTTTAAGACAATGCTTGCATTGTTCTTGGCTATGCCACATCTGATCGATCGTATTGGAAAATTGACCACGGCCAAGCGGACCCTTCTTCTAGCCAAGTCCCAGAGAGGGATGAGGCAACCAAAGAGAGGTGACCAATGGAAAAGGCTCGCCACCTTCCGACACTTTCCC